GAACTTACTACCTGTACCCCCCCCCCCCCCCCCCCCCGGTTCAACCCCCTGAACCTCAAAGGGGGAACATCCGGTTATGGTAAGTGCCTCACTTGACTCATTTCTCACGCCACTGTGAACTTAAGGTCAAAATGATACAGTAGTATATGTATACGATCAGGTGTATAATTATACGGAATCAGATGTAAACATATACAACCAGATACATATACTGTATATGTACTGTATATGACAAAATGTTACTGGGGTTTTGAGATCACCTCAAAGAACAAGTCCAGATCCTCAAGCCACTTCTTCACGCACATGACTTCCATGATAGTCATGGCTTTAAATGACAAATGCGAGTTCCGACAAAGGTGGTGTGACTTAAAGACCAATTGCTTGACTGAAACAGAAGTTGCCAGAATAGCAAGGAAGTCCCATGTCATGCATGCAATAACAGGGAAACTGTCACTGTGTGTCTGACAAGAAGGGTGTTTAATTAGCCTGCCAATGGTATATGTCCAGATCTATGCGGCTTACCTTCCACCAATCAAGCAGCTTGTGATAGTTGTCAAACCCTTCACCGTCAATCCATCTCTTGACCTCAGATTGAACAGGGAGCTCAGGTGGGGGCAGTGTTGGTTTGGACTGGTACCCGAGCCAAGCAAGGCAGTCGTTTGTGCTGATTTGCTGCAGTTTTGGCGCTGGTTTGACAGTGGCCGGGGTGTACTTGCTACGATAGATATTGTAGACAAATGTGAAGAGTTCTTTTGAGACACATTTGTACTCATCTTCACCAAGAGCCTTGAACCACTTGACACAAAGGAAGGGGTGGCAAGCTAGTAAAATGAATGTTAGATTATACTATCAAGCTCAGAAGAGGCACTGGTGTCTAAAAGTGAGCAAGTAAGGAGACACTCTGTGGACACCAGGATTATGTAGGTGAAAAGAAATAAGGTTTGGGAACTGTACAGTAGCTTGGAGTTCTCCATAGTAAGCCAAATAGAAGATAAAGGCAAAATAGGGGCAAAGTTGTGAGATACTGGATAAGGAAGGTGGTGGAGATATAAACAAGACACAAGTAAACATATACCTCAACACACAATAGCTGAGTGGTTGCAGCACTTTGGGCACTACCACAGGGTTCTAGGGTCAACTCATACCACTGGCAAGCCTCACCTCTTTTTACCCAAGTGCACTGGAATCAATTGCCGCTTATGTAAGCTGTACCAAACAAGCGGCAACTAGGTGAACTGCACTATACAACATCTCAGATACTCCAGTGTGCAGCAACCAGCCCTAAGTCGCATAAAAATACAAAAAAGTTACTGGATACTGTAGGTTTTGTTTTGCATTATACTATGCGTTATTCATCTAGTCTCTTGGCTAGATAATTCCAGTAATACTTGCTCAGTTGGCGCATCAACAATCAAACCTGTGTCTCAAGTTCGTTGCCATGATCAGCTTGGCTCTATGGGCTTCTGGCATGTCTCGGAAGACCATCAAGATGCTTTATGCTGCAGGCCTTTCAGTTTCCTACATGTCTATCTCCAAGATGATTTCCTCACTTGCTGCTCACTGTGCCTATCAAGCGGATATTATAGCATTAGGACCTCATATGCTCGGGTATGATAACATCAACATCTCGCTGTCAACATTTCTCAAGCAGCAAGGACTTCTGGATACTCCGTATGAAGTTCAATCTGGGACTTTTGGCATTATGCACGAGCTCTGAGGCAATGACCCAGCAACTCCTGTGCCTCCAGAGCATGTCAATGCAAAGATACTCACTGGGAGGTTTATCAATGCTCCCCCACTGAACTTCAAGGCGGATATTCTCCCTGATGACAACAAGCATGCTGCAGTACAGGCAGATCTTCAGTCAACTATTATAGGCCCTCTATTTAAACTTCTCCCATTGATGTTCTCTGATTCTTGTGCAACAGCAATGAGCTTAAATGACCTGCAGTCCCCCCAATTCCAATTGGACACAAGACACAATTCTATGCAACCAGGGCTAGCAAGATTGAAGAAGCATCTCAAGCAGGCAACAGCAACTATCTAGACAAGCTGTATACTAAGGAGTTTGATATCTTGCCTTCACTTCTTTCCATATTCTCCATACTCACCGAGAATGATGTTTTGACAAACCAGCACGTCCAGGGAGTTATGCTTGTTCGCTGCCAAGATGTTAACCTTTGGAAGTGCTGGAAAGTCCTTCAGGTTGCTCTGGCACTTTTCCACCTGGTCTTGAACCTTATCTGGACAGTTCACCTCAAGTACCAGGGCTCAGTTGTAGCCACAGGTAGCCTATCTTGGTTCTATGGGCTACTTGACAAAGCTCGACTAGGCAACCCACATCCAGACTACCATACCTTGCTCATGGCACTCCTGCAGACTCTAGATGCTCTCCTCCTTGATGCCTGGCACAAGATCCTCAACAAGCATGGGTTTTCTAGCTTCACAGCATTTGCTAAGTTGAACCTGTCCCCAAAAACTATTCATGCATTTGTTGCTGAACTTCACAGCACGTTTGCAAGTGTAGCACCCCATTCAAAAACTGACAACAATGTGCACTACAACACCTCTCTACTTGTATGTGATCTCTTGTTTGTGGCAACACTAGTCTCTGCGGTTTCGGATGGCGACTATGGCCATGTAGGGAACATGCTACCATTTATTGTGTTTGTTTTTGTGGAGCAGGCTGCAACAACTATGCTAACAAGATCCTGCAACCAATTCACAACTTCAAGCACATTTGGACACCTGAGTTCATGTAAGTCCCACATTCTAATTGCTTGATCTTTTTTCAACCATAAATTCTAGAAAAATTGTGCATCAAAACAGTATTATTTGTCCATCAGGACGAGGTGCTGGCTTCTGCATGGGCATTGATTTGAATGCAGAACATGGTTTTGATGCTCTGAAGGTGTGTAAATGTAAAAGTGGTACTATTTACTGTTCTCATGCTGTACTAGATGCTTTTTTTTTCTTTGCTAAGGGTGTAATTGGTAATTGGGATTGTCTAGGAGATGGCGCTGCTTGCATAGTCCAAGCCAAAGCTGCCAAACACAAGGTGGCAGAGGTGTTTGGGCTGTCATATCAGTCAAAGACCCACTCAACACCATCCACAACTGCTCTTGTCTTCAAAGTTTCGAGAAAGGTCAGCAAGAACGAGCTTTTTGTATGAATATTAATTTACTCCTGCCCCAACATTCCTGTGGCCTTTGACATTCTTTCGTGTTTGTCATCTCTATCCAAATCATACTCCAAGTCAACTCGACGTCAACTTGTTATCTCCATTGTACTCCGCCATACTTAGCATCTTCTCCTTGCTTCTACGCACATCTCCTTTACCTTTGATATCTCCGGATTCACCTCCAGCCCATCTCCACACTTCTTTGTACCTTTGCTAGCATCTTCGGGACCACCTATGGATCCCATCACGTAGTGACGTGTTAGATCCCATGTTCAGGCGTAGTCTACAGAACTTGTACGTTACCACTCCGGGGGTTTTCCCGCCTCCTGCTAAATCTCTGCTAGTGGGAGGGACTTAGATGCAGCGAGAGTGTAGTCCCTCAACCTAGAACTTGTGCCGAGCATGCTGCCATCATTAATAAGCTGTCATAACACCTAATTGGGTGTTTCAGCCACCAAAGGCTCGGCACAGTCTCGGCTCATCCCATACGGGCGATATAGGCCCTAGATGTCAGACACGTCAGACTGCCTGTCAGCCCAAGACAGCTGGACACTGTCCCCAACGTTCCCGACGGCCCCTCTGCTTGTCATCCGCAACAACAAGCTCGTATATCTCCATGAATACAAGTCCCCTGAGCGCGGGGTTTTTTGCTACATAGTAATATGGATACATGGATGATGTGCATGGGTATATCATGTGGTAGGGGTATCTGATAATGATAGAAAAGAGTTAATAAGTTTCCAAGTACTGTCCTCATCATCGAGCGCGCCCTCAGGGCCCTCCTCGTCGCTCTCGCTGTTGGTGTTGTCGTCGTCGCTCCCGCCCTCGGCCTTGTCATTGCCATCAGTCATCTTGCTGGCGTACACTTCCTGTCCCTTGTCCGGCAGCTGTGCTGCAAGCACGATGAGGCCCGAAGGCACGACTGGGTCAGCCTCGCTAGTACTGTCCCCTGGTGCTGCACAAGCACTCTGCCCTGGTTCAATAGAACCAGTGAAGCCCTGCAGGCGTGATATGGCTTGCAGCCGTTTCCAGTGCAAGCCGTTACAGCGCCCGCGGACCTTCCAGTACTCAGATACCTGGAATACAAGGGCGGGATGTTCCTGCTTGAGCTTGGCCTCACATTCAAGCAGGTACTTCTCCTCGTCCTGTAGGTATGTAGCAAGCTGTTGGACTTTGACGTTGAGACGGGTGATCTCCTTGCATGCACAGCAGATCTTGAAGTGCAGGTCCATGGCAGAGCGGGCGCCCGGTTTCGCCCATTCACAGGCCGAGATGTCCTGTCGTGTGTCGCGAAGGAGGTCAAAGTCCGCAAGGAACACATACTCCATAACCTCATCCCATTCGAGGGTATGCCGGGGGGGGGGGGNTGGGGG